TGATATTCCTCTCCTGTACAATTCAACTCATCTAGCCAGATGGGTCCTGATCCCATACCAAAGTAGGCTCCGCGCTTGTGATCAAGGGCCCATCCACAGCCCAGCTGTCTGCATACAACATGAGCATCCTTTATGTCCCAGTTGTCATCACAGATGGTGCCCCACTGGCTCTGGTAAAAGATCTCCACTCTTCCAGCACAGTGACTGTCCCCGTTCACCAGGCGGAGTTGTGCACTCTCTGAGGAGAGAGAGGGTCATGTCAAAAGGGACATTTTACAGACATAAGAAAGGCTATTTTTTTTTTTTTTGGGACCCCGCACATGAGCAGTTAGTACTGCCCTTGGAGGTTGTAGAATCCACTGGGTTGGACAGGAAGTCACTGCACCTGGGCAGCAGCTGGGTCTGGTTTCCTACAGAAATAACATGAGCAGAGGTCTGTAGGGTTGAAGAACAGGAAACCAAATTTAGATGAAACAATCTAGTGAATGGAAGCTGCTATATAGATCCTATCAGTGTTAACCTTCTGATTATGGAGTTCTGCATAGGGTCTGAAGGAACTCTGGTGGAACTGTGGTTAAAGCATTGGGCTGCTAACCAAAAGGTCACTGGTTAGAACCCACCAGCCACCCCATGGGAGAAAGATGAGGCAGTCTACTTCTGTGAGACTTACAGCCGGAAACGCTATGGTTTTGACTTGATGGCAGTGGGCATAGGATCTGAGAAGGATATACTAGAAATGTCAGAATCTCTACTCTGAGTATTTGGTGGTGTCACTCTGAATGTGCAGAGCCAGGGAGTTTAGTCAAAGAGACACTTCATAAACTATACCCACTCATTGCCATTGCCTGGGGGCTAGAAGTCATTGATATGGAGCACAGAGCAAAGAGAATAGAGTCAGGAATGGGGCCTGCTCATCAGAAGGTTCAAGTAGCAGCCATAGATAACAGGGCCAATCAGATTTGTTCATCTTGTGTCATGTTCGGAGCTGAAAAGTGAATGGGCCATGAGACAGGTCATGCTTTACTTGTGATTTCAGGCTTTAGACTCCATATTTGGCTACATAATTTCAAATCATGTGCTCCCCTTTGAGTAGACTGGAAATCTCCCAGGAGAGATGATGTCAGATGGTATTGCCATCGGTCAGATTTCCCTGGGAATCACAGAGTATTGCTCCCTCCCCACAACAAATCTATACTTGGATTTCACTTCAGGAGTTGCTATTATTTGTAATAGCGTTATTGCATTGTGTGTATTCTGGACGAAACCAAATATGTATTCTAACCCCACCACAGAGCCGAGTTAAGTTATATTTCTGCTCTGAATTCATTTGAACAACAATTTGGACCCCCTGTGTTATTATTTTCTCCTTCTTACACATGAACAAGATAATAGAAAAAAAGGTTAAATCACTTCTCTCAATGTTGAATTTAAAGTTAACGGTGAAGTAGAGATTCAAAGCTAGACTTTTGCTTCCATGAAGAATGGAAGAGTTCACGGAAGTTTGATGCTTCTATGGGATAAAGCTAAGAAAGCTGGTTAATATAAAAAATTTTAAACATATCTGACATTTGTGGAAGGAATGTGGTCTAAATGTGCTAAAATTCCAAGGAATGGAGATCTTTCAGAGTTTAGTTCAGGAGCTACAGTTGCTTTTTCTCTAATGGAATTTCTTAATTCAGTGAAAGGGTTAAAGTTGCCCTAGGAAAGGCAGGTGGCTGC